CAGGGCACTAACATCTATTTAGTATTTTGTAAAGTTGTATTGGTGAGGTTGGCCAGGCCAAGCTAACGTTTCTGACCTGATGCAGGATTGATATTGGCTTCATATGAAGGATTAGGTAAACAATGAGGAGTCATCACTACCCCTTCTGTAAATTTCATACATCAGTATTCCATTCATCAAGTTGTGTTCACTAGTGCTGGAAATGATCGGGTGGGGAAAAAAAAAATCATATGACAATCTAGATTAATTGACTGGATGAGGAGTTCTTTTCTGGTGAGTGTTAAAAATTTAGATAAAAAGACTCCCTTACCTCAGTATACTTTTGTGTAATTCATGTTTGATACAAACCACCACTATGACTTCTGAATGGTGAAACATTTGTCCTCTCCAAACTTATTGAAATGTCATTCCACTATGGCATTATGTTCTTGTAAAATTGCAGTAATTCATCAAGCATGCACTGCAGTACCTTACCAAGGCGCCTCTGACTGCATGTGCCAAATCTGTGATCACTTCACCTGGAAGGACAACAGGAGACTCACAAGGAAGTCACACTTGCAGGATTTCCTCCAGATCTCACACCATCTTAACTTGAGTGTATTGCAGTTCCTTCAGTGTCGCTGGATCAAATTCCTGGAGCTGCTTTCCCAGTGGCTGTACCTTCTCTTTCCTCCCCCCGCACCCCTCAGGACTGCAGCAGATAAAGGCTGCTCATCATCACCACCTCAAGGCAATTAGGATTGTGCAATCAGTGCTGTCCTGGCCTGAGATGCCTATATCCCATGGAAGCATTTTTATTAAACTAGACTTCTGTTTTAATAAATATGCCTCATGCTACTTGATTCAAGCTCTTCTGCTGGCGTCACTGTCAGGTAGAATAGAAAGTTGAGCCTGACCAGCAGCTCCAATTAGCTTTTACGTGGACATCCCAGGAGACAAAATCTTGGCTGAGGATCTTGCACCTTTTCTGTATCTCTGCTGGAAAAATACATGTTTGTGAAATGTGCAGTGAGAACAGATCTCACTTAGTAATGCCCCCTGTGGTAATTAGCATGCCAATAGTCACAATATGAGCATGCTTTTGAATAATTGCTTATAGTGCTGGCATGATGCAGCATATTAAAGGAAAACAGTACTGAAGTGGGGACATAAAAGTGTGAATGTATCACTGATGTATCAAATGTCCACTACTAAATAGGTTACTGATGGGCTGTCTGATCAATTAATTTCATACATGCATGCAAAGTGCTAATCCACAGAGAAAAGAGATTTTTTTTAACTATTCGCTATGTATCAAGTGCTTCAATTAATCTATGGCTATGTTTTCTGTCAGAATATGATTAATGAAGGCTATGCTGCAACACAGTTAATCAACCAACTGCATGACATCATTATCGATAAAGAAGATCTTAATGATCAACAGAAATCAGCAATCACACTAAAACTGGCAGTAAGTATGCCCTGAAATAACCTGAGCTATATTTTTCTTAATCTGTCTCTGGTTTTACAGTATACAAATTTCTTCTCGTAACTCCATCTAGCTGTGTATGCTTTGGTATCCTGACTTGTGAAAACTGTCTGCCTTAAACCACCACCACCAACACCCCCTCCCCCACTTGAAAGCAGTTGGCTAAAATACTAGTGTAATAAGTTAGTGAGTGGTTCATTAGCCATTGTAGAGTTTTCAGGAGTTTAACTGTAGTTTGATTCCCTTGAAGAATACTTTTTGTTATACTGGTTGGACATGATGTAACGTCTTTTCCCCTGAAGGCTAAATTTGAAATGCTTCCATGAAATTGAGGTCTTTATTTGCTTGAGGGAAAATTCACAGAACTTATTCATAGCAAACCTTTTGTATATTACGTTTTTTTTTTAAAGAAAAGCACTGATCTCTGTCAACTTGTCCTTGTTCACATTTCCAAACGCAACAGTTATCATGACCAAGCTTCAATTTCTACAACAGATTTACAAATAGTTGTAGTTTAGCTGAATGATGCATCTTGAATTGTATTGCTAATTTTATTCATTGGTATTCTTGCAAATTTGTTGTAGTCACTATTTAAAGATTTTCCATTAAGAGGAGCTCCTCATTTCTGGACAGAAATACAATATTCTTGAAAACTGGCCCTCGATGCCAATTGACTGAAATCCTAACTCTGTTTGAAAGTTACTTTTCAATCTACCTCTGACAATATATAGTTAGCTTTACAGAATGTTATGCTGTTGCATTTATTCTAAGATTGGCCTTTTTTTTTGCTCCCCAGGAAGTTGATAAATGCTTAATCGATGGTGCTGATGAGTACCTGCAGATGATCAGTCTTTCTGCAGTTATTATGCAACAGTTTACACAGACCACTTAATCAAACTATAGATGAGCAACAGTTGAAGAAAATAACTCCTTTCAATTATTTAGTCTCACAAAGACCTGAAAGGTCTATGTACAGTCAAAAGTCCTCAAGCTGTGTGTTGACTTTTCTACAGTGCTTTTAGATCAGTGTTTCATACAAAATAAAGTGTTTCTAAATATGTTTGAAATGTAATAATTTTTTGACATCAATTATTTCACCAAGTCTAGTCAATACACATGAACAACAAATTTTAAAACATCGCTGACTTGAGAGGGGTCATTCCTTAAAATTATTTTCTATGCATACTGCTGAGGTGATTTCAGACTTATACTGAAATGATGCAGCAATGTTTTGCTACTTTTGGTCTCCAGAAAAAAGTATTAGAGCTAAAGGCTGATATGTACCGAAGACTGCTGAAAAAAAGTGGCTGCACGATTGATATATTGATTATAATGTCCTTAACCCTTAAGACTCTGAAAGGGTCGTTTAACATCTTTATTCTATAAATGGGAAGAGACTGAAAGCAAGAAACCACAGGCCAATTAACGTAACATTTGTCATAAGGAAGTTGCCAGATTCCATTATTATGGAGAATACAGCAGAATACTTGGAAAATTGATGTGTTCAGGCAGTGTCAACATAACTTTGTGAACAAGAAATTTTGTACCTTCCTTCCACTCACGTCTGTTAAGTATCTTTGTGAAGTAATGAGGTGAATTAAGGGTGCAATTGGATTTCCAAAAAGCTTTTGATAAACAGTACTGACTAAATTGTTGGAGCTGCAGGCTGACAAGTGCCGAGATCCTGATGGACTTCATCCTAAAGCCTTAAAAGTAGTAGCTAGTGAGAGTTATGCATTGGTTTTAATTTTCTAGAACTCTTGATTTGTGGACGGTCCCATTGGATTGCAAGATAGCAAATGAAACTCCTTTATACAAGAAGTGACAAAAAGCCGGAAACTACAGACCATTTAGCTTAACATTATTTCATGGGGAAAATGTTAGAAGCAACTGATGATGAAGTTAAAATGGCATTTAGAAAAGTTCATGGCCCTTTGGCCCTCCGAGCCTGCGCCAATCATCATGCCCTGACTAAACTAAAAAACAAACCTGCCCTTATTCGGTCCATTTCCTTCTATTCCCCCCCCCCCCCCCCCCCTTCCCCCCAATTCATGTCACCATCCAGATGCCTCTTAAATGTTGCCAATGTGCCTGCTTCCTCCACCTATGCTGGCAGTACATTTCCAGGCTCTTACCACGCTCCGTGTGAAAAGCTTTCCTCACACATCTCCCTTCAACTTTTGCCCTCTCACCCTAAACCTGTGGCCCCCTGCAATTGAAACTTCAACCCTGGGAAAAAGCCTCTGACTATCCACCGTATCTATGCCTCTCATAATCTTGCAGACCTTTATCAGGTCTCCTTTCAGCTGCCGTCTTTCCAGTGAAAACAATCCTGGTCTTTTTAACCTTTCCTCATAGCCAATGTCCTCGAGACCAGGCAACATCCTGGTAGACCTTCTCTGCACTCTCTCCAAAATTTCCACGTCCTTCTGGTAATGTGGCAACCAAAACTGCACACAGTACTCCAAATGCAGCCTAACAAGGGTTCCATATCGCTGCAATATGGTTTGCCAACTCTTGTACTCCATGGCTGACAAAATCAAACATGCTATATGCCTTCCTAATCAGTTTGGCCACCTATGTTGCCACTTTTGGGTAACTGTGGACCTGCGTGCCCAGATATGTACGTTAATGTTGCTGAGAGTTCTGTCATTTACAGTATAATTCACATCTATATTTGATCCTCCAAAATGCATCACCTTGCATTTGTCTGGATTAAACTCCATCTGCCATTCCTGTGTCCAAGTTGTCAATCTATATCCTGTTGTATCCTTTCACAATCATGGGCACTATCAGCGGCTCCACCAAGCTTTGTGTCATCTGAAAACTTACTAATCAGACCATCCACAGTTTCCTCCAGACCATTATATATGCTACAAAACACCAGAGGACCCAAGACTGATCCCTGTGGAACACCGCTAGTTACCAGTCTCCATTCTGAAAAACACCCTCCCACCGCTACCCTCTGTCTTCTATGACCAAGCCAGTTTTGTATCCATCTAGCCAGCCCACCCCGAATCCCATGTGATTTTAGTTTTAGAACCAATCTGCCATGTGGGATTTTATCAAATGCCTCACTAAAGTGCATATGAACTACATCCACAGCTCTTCCCACATGAATTATCCGTTGACCTCTTCAAAAAATTCGATCAGGTTGGTGAGGCATGCCCTTTCCTGTACGAAACCATGCTGCCTGTTGCTAACTAGTACATTTTCTTCCAAATGTGCATATATCCTGTCCCTCATTATCCTCTCCAAGAGATTCCCCACCACAGATGTCACTCACTGGCTGAAATTTCCTGGATTATCCCTGCTTCCTTTCTTAAGCAAGGGAACAACATTGGCTAACCTCCAGTCCTCTGGAACCTTGCCTGTGGTCAAAGAGGATGTGAAGACATCTGTTGATACACCAGCTATTTCTTCCCTTGCCTCGCAGTAAGCTGGGATAGATCCTACCTGGCCCTGGGGACTTGTCTACCTTAATGCAATTTAGGATACCCAAAACTTCCTCCTTTTAATATATCGACATTTTCTAGACCTCAACATCAGTCATGTTCTTCTCCTTGGTGAATACCGATACAAAGAACTTATTAAGGATCTGTCCCAATTCCTGTGGCTCCATGCATATCATCCCTCCTTTGTCCTTGAGGGGACCTACTCTTTCCCTTGCTACCCCCTTTCCTCCAATATATGCATAAAAAGCCTTGGGATTCTCCTTGACCCTGTTTGCTAAAGACATTTCATGGCCCCTTTTAGCCTTCCTAATTTCTCTATACTCTTCAAGGGCTTTGTCAGTTTTTAGCTACCTGGATCTATGGTATGCTTCCTTTTGATTTAAGTTTACAAATTTCTTTGTCATCCATGGTTACTGGATGCTGCCATTCCTATCCTTCAGTTTGCAGGGACACGCATGTCCTGCACTTTAATCAACTGGTCTTTTAAAAGCTTCCCATATGCCAGACATAGATTTGCCTTCAAGTAACTGCTCCCAATCCACATTCTCCAGTTCGGATGTAATTGGCCCTTGTCCAATTAAACACCCTCACTCGAGGGCCACTCTTGTCCATGACTACTTGAAATCACTGAAACATCAATCACCTGCCCTGGTTCGTTCCCTAATACCAAGTCTAGTATGGCCTCCTTTCTGGTTGGATTGTCAACACACTAACTCAAAAAGCCCTCCTCGACACACATAAGAAATTGCTCTCCATCTGATCCTCTGCCTCTATGGGAGTCCCAGTCAATAAGATAATCAACATGTTTTTGCAAAAGGGAACTTGTTTGACCAATCTAAGAATCCTTTGTAAAGGTAATATGTGCTGTGGACAAAGGGTGACCAGTAGACGTACTGTAGTTAGATTTCCAAAAGGCAGTGATAAAGTACCATACCAAAAGGTTATTGCAGAAAATAGAAGTTCAGTGTAGGGCAGCATGGTGGCTTACTGGTTAGCACTGCTGCCTCACAGCGTCAGGAACCTGGGTTTGATTCCACCCTCTGGCGACTGTCTGTGTGGAGTTTGCACATCCTCCCCGTGTCTGCATGGGTTTCCTCTGGGTGCTCCGGTTTCCTCCCACAGTCCAAAGATGTGCAGGCTAGGCGAAATTGGCCATGCTAAATTGCCCAGTGTTCACGGATGTGTAGATTAGGTGGGTCACGGGGGATGGGTCTGGGTTGGAATGCTCTGAGGGTCAGTGTAGACTTGTTGGGCCGAAAGGATTCTACGATCTATACTGGCACAGATAGAAAATCAGCAAGCTAACAGGAAAGAGACAGTAGGTATAAATGGATCTTTTTCAGTTTAGCAAGATGTAAGAAGTGGTATGCCACAGGAATCGGTGCAAAGACCTCAAACTGTTTGCAACATGGTATGGTTGCTAAATTAGCTCATGACACAAAAGTAGGTAGGGAAATAAGCTGTAACAAGGGCATTAGGTTAAGTATGAGCAAATATCTGGCAAACTGAACATGTGATAAAATGTGAAAATGTCCATTTTGGCAGGAAAATTATAAAGCTCTTTAAATGGTGAGATTAGAACTCCAATGTAGAGATCTGGTTGTCCTTTGGGGGCACTTTGCAAAATATTCATATGAAGGTATAGCTAGTAATTAGGAATGTTATTCATAGAATGTTATAATTTATTATGAAGGGAATCACAAAAGAAGGCAATTGATTGCAAAGGAAGGGAAGTTACAGTGCATTAGTGAGACTAGTAGTATGCAGTGGTCACATCATTTAACAAAAGGTGTAAATGTGTTAGATGCAGTTCTGAAGTTTACCAGACCGTTACTAGAATGAGTCAGTTATACAGCACAGAAGAAAACCAACTGATCAATGACAACCAGATATCCTGAAGAGATCGAGTCCCATTTGCAAGCATTTGTCCTGTTCATGAACCCATCCAGATGTCTTTTAAATGTTGTAATTGTACCTGCCTCTATCACTTACTCCGACAACTCATTTCATACACATGGAAAAGTTGCTGCTCAGGTTCCTTTTGACTCATTCCCTTCTCACTTCTAATTTTGGACACACTTACCCTTGGAAAAAGACCATAACTATTCACCTTAAGTTTAGACAAGCTAGGCTTATATGCATTGGATTTGAAGAGAAAGAGGTGACTATTGAAAGATAAAATCTAGAAGGGTCTTCTGGGATAATCTACAACTAGGGGTCAGTCCTGCAGCACTCTTGAAAAGATGGTGGAAGGACTCTGCTTGAATATTTTAAGGTAGAGGTAATCAATTATTGTAGGTAGTGGGATTTAAAGGTGTCAGATGAGCCATGACCTTATTGAATGGTGAAGCAGGTGAGTTTGAGAATGACAGCCCTTGATGTCAAGGAGCACTACCAACCCTGTGGGTGTCGGATCTGGCACACAGTAAGGTGGTTGCAGTTGTTGGAAGTCAGTAATCTTAACTCCAGGACATCGCTGTCAGGGTTCCTCAGGTGTTTCATCAATGAATGACCTTCCTTCCATCATCTAAATGCTGATGCTTGCACAATGTTCAGCACTATTTGTGACTCAGATACTAGAGCACTCTTCAAATGCAATGACATGTGGATAACTTCTGGGCTTGGGCTGACCAAACAGCTCACCACACAAATGTCAGGCTATGACCATTTTGAATAAGAGACAATCTAACCACCCCTTACCTTCCTGAGTGTTACTTTTGACCCAAAACTCAACTGAACTCACCATATAAATACAACAGCCACAGGAGTAGGTCAAAGACTTGGAATACTGTGATATCTCAATCCTTTCAACTCCCCTAAGTGTGTTCACCATCCACAAGGTGTAAGTCAGGAGTGTGATGGGAATACTCCCTATTTGCCTGGATGGGTACTGCTCCAACTAAAGAAGCTTGACCCTATCCAGGATAAAGTAGCCTGCTTGATTGGCGCCACATCCACTCCCTCCACAAATGACACTTCAGTAGTAGTAGTGTGTACCATCTACAAAATGCACTGCAGTTCACCAAAGATCACTAGACAGCACCTTCCAAATTGCAACTGCTATTATCTAGAAGGACAAAGGCAGCAGAAACATAGACACCTCACCATTACTTCAGTGTCATAATCCTGGTATTCCCTCCCTAATAGCATTGTAGGTCAACCTACAGCACAGGGAGTGCAGCGCACCACCACCTTCTCAACAAGGGACAGGATCAAGGCACTGGATTTGCTGTTTCTAATTTAGTATGGTTGTACCACATGCATATAACAGTGTCATATTAGATTGGAATGGAAAGACTGGTTAGCTAACTATAACCTGCGGGATAAATGAATTGATCATTTACAATGCTCCTTCATGATTTTGATGAACTGACTTAAATAAAACTGGATGCTGTAACAACCACGGAGTGCTAGAAAAATTTAGCAGGTACATCTGTATAGAAAAAGGTGATATTTGAATCCAGCAATCATTCATGCTCCTCCAGATTTTTGAGTTAATGGGTGACAGCCAAATTTGTTAATGACACAAAAATAGGTAAAACAGCACCAAGTGACAAACTGTGATCAGATAGTGACAGGTTTGATGACAACAGTTTGAGTATAATGTGGAAAATTTGAACTTTTAAACAAGAAACATACTTTTCTTCCTTTAGTGAGTCTATGCTAAGACTGTTACCATTACTGTATACTGTTTTGATTTTTTTTTGACAAGGGCCAAAAAGTTCAGCAGTGGAGCCCCTATTCTCTACATTCAATCTTAGCATGAAGGAGTGGTCTTAAAAGCTGAACTCAACAGTGGTAGGTAACAGTAACCAGGACCTGAAGTATATGAAAGCTAGCAAAAACTTACTGTGAATTCATTGGTAGATTCATACAATGCTGCATTTAGCTTACTGCTGTACCTATCAAAGTTGCTGTCTCATCTACTCCCACTTTTCCCAGGCTGGTTTTAGAATATAATTGTTTGGTACAGGTGTAGGCAAGGGGATGTTTTTTGTTACTCATAGGAAAAATTAGCTTAAAATGAATTAATCTCTGCCAGCTTTCCATGACATCGTGGCAGTACTATAACTAAACCCCCTCCTCTGCCCCTGTTATTACTGCAATGTGCCCTAACACTTCAAGATGAATTAGTTTAGCATTTTTAACTAGAGTATTTTTGATCAGTGCCGTACAAGGTATCTTGAGTGTTGTGGACAAATTATGGCTTGTTTCTTCAATTATGAAACAAAAAATTCATGTCTAAGCCTCAAAATTCCACTTACGGCTGGTCTGTTACTATTGGTGGAAGATAAGTTTTAAAAACTTTTACAGAAAAGTTATACTCTAGAGAATAAAGTGTTTATGATGCAGAGCCAAAAATTAAATAGGAATAGCAATTGCTCATGAACCAGTAATCCCGAGGCCAGCCATTCTAAATCTCATCCCTAATTATGACTGGTACAAAGTGCCCCAATAGACAGAGCCTGGCCAACAAATGAATTTTAAAAAAAAAAAAAAAAATTCACTTCAATCGCAGGATGGTGGTATTGCTAGCTAGAGATAGGCAATAAATGCTGCCTAACTGCCTGGAGGGCAGTTGAGTCAACCACAGTGCTATGGGTCTAGAGTCACAAGTAGGCCAGACCAGGTAAGGACTCTTCATTTTACTTGTCAGATCAGTAAAGAAAGCTAAAGACAGCAACTAGATGGATTGAAGTGAGGCAGGGTTAGACCAACCTCTACAATTCAAGAATCAGCATCTGCCCTACTGAGAGCAATGGGAACATTATGAAGTTCCCACCTTAAATAATTACCTGTTTATTAAAAGTAGAACATTCCAAATACATATGCTATTGTGTAATCAAAAGTATTGTATGGCCAGCCTAGTGACCTTGTCTCCATCATAGCTCAAGCTACACCCAATTTAGGCCTAGGCATTTAATCAACTCAATTATCTACCCTCCAGACTTGTTCCACACATTCAAAATTAAAGCATAAACCAGTCATCCATTTCATTCATACCCAGAAATTGAACCAAGCAACCTCCCACTCTTCAGGAGTACTGACCAATCAAAATGACCATTTTTAAAACTTTTGTTTCCCCCTAGCAAGAGGTCAACATTTCATGTTGAAATTAACTTTAATAGCTTTACATTCTAACTTCTCAAATTCCACCATACAAATTCAATAAATCTAAATAGGTGCAAAACACATTACTGTCGCAAAGAGCTTCAAGTCAGTCAGGGCACTGATTATTTGGAAGCCATACCAAAAAAAAAAAAAAAAAACAAAAATGCAGAAATTTATACACAAAATCAAGTTACGTATCTAAACCTGCACAATGTTCCATCAGGTTTGTTCAGTTCAATGTGAATGTTAGCTTCACTGGGGCTGGAACACTGCAACTCCAAATCAGCCAGCATTTGATATTGAACCACCCCTGTGCATGCACAACTTAAACCTTACAATTAAAAAGGTAACAGGCATATAAAGCTATGTATTTTATAGAAACCCCATTTAAAAGTAGGTTTTGAGTGTAAACCTCCAATAATAGTGTTTCGTAGTTTGAAAGCACCACAGGAATGAGCCTGTAATACATTTGCTTAGGCTTGCTGCATTTTATATTGCTCAGATCATACAAACATGCACCACCATTGCAAATTTACAGGTAGTTTTTCCTCCTACATTTACTCTCTCCAGAAGCATCTTAGATCAACATGGTTTAAAAGTTGAAAGATCTGTATTTTACTATTGAGCAGAGTCTGTACAATCTCCTAGGAGGTTGTTTTCTAGAGAAAACAAAAATAAATATTTAGAATAGAAGACAGCGACAGATTGCATAAATTAGAACAGCCCATGTACAATAAACAAAAGAACTACAAAGTTACAAAAATAAGGATGCAATACAGGAATGCAGTTACAACATCTGGCCTCCCTCAAAACTAATGCCAAATTTCTCACATTTGTACAAAGTATCTTAACAACCACCTACTGGGAAGCCAAAACTGTGCAGATCATAGCACAAATAGATCTTTGCACAACTCAAAACTTTTTATTAAATACAAATACATGTAGTTAGATTACCTCTAGAAAAAGTGCACATACATTTACCAATTGATTGGCAAGCTTCATTTTAAAATAGTTGTAGATATGCCAGTTTGACATAATTGGCTGATTTAACACAGCACTTGAATTTTTTAGTCCATAAGTAAACTATTAAGTGATAAAGAATATCAAACAGAAATGCTACTACAGAACATTCAAAACACTGAAGGGCATATATGTTTAAACACCCCATGACTTAAACTCCCCACCCCAGCAGTCAACACTGCAAAAGGATGGCGTTCCTCAAGTCACTTATCACAATGCTGGATTTCTGATCCTGTCTGCACATGGGAGAAGAGATTCAACAACTCGTGAAGCAGCACAACGCACCATATAGTCTGATAATTCAGCAGCTGCAAATGCAAATTCTCATGCCATCATTAGATCAGGTCAGCCACATTCATCGGCATCTCTTCCACAGTTGTATTGTAGAATGTCTCAATATCACGAAGAATTCTTTTATCTTCTTCAGTAACAAAGTTAATAGCAACACCTTTCCTTCCAAAGCGACCACCACGACCAATTCTGTGTAAATATTTAAATTAAACATTCAGTCTATTGAAAGTACATCCTCAAACCTCAACATGTACCTATTAAATTCTTTCCTGATTCCTCATCCAAAAATTAAACTTGACACATGGAACCCAGACTAAGCACACCTGCATTATTCAGCAGACCACCATCACTGGGACAACATAACTACAGTCTGCTTTAATGGGATGCTTAAGCTTGTTCACTTTGATGGATGTGAAGAGCACTAACCTGTGAATGTAGTTCTCACGATTTGTAGGCAAGTCATAGTTAATAACTAGAGACACCTGCTGCACATCGATGCCACGAGCCTTTAGGGGAAAACACACTCTAGTTAGTATATTAAAGTTTTATACAAATCAATTTTTATGTACAAAAACCTGTGCTACATAGCAGCATATGATTTCCCTCCTTCCTCCCTGGACCAAGGTAGTAGAGCATTAAGAACAGAGTGACATGACAATTTTCAGACATAACTAACTCAACATGTGCAATTATCTGTATGATCAAGACATACAGCAGGTACTGAAAATCTAATTGCAACTACTTGCACTGAACAAGAACCCCATAATAAAAGCAAAGTGCTATCTTCTAAAATGTCAGTTTACATACCAGTAAGTCAGTAGTGATAAGTACACGGCTAGATCCTGAACGGAATTCCCTCATAATCACATCACGTTCTTTCTGATCCATGTCACCATGCTGTAATCAATAGTCGTAGAAAAATACTTCATTTATAAACATGATATCAAGTGTCTAAAACAATTGTTTGTCTAGTCCAATTTCAATATATTACCTTTGCCATTCTTCCTCACCCCACTTCCCAGCCAATTTCTCACCAGTCTCTCAATCCACACCCCATTGTGCCTGCTGCCTTGGCAACCATTACCACCACTTTCTTTCCCACAGTGAACTGATCAGCAGAGAGAAGAAGCCAGTCTGTGAATGAATGACAAGCTCCTTTAAAAATTACAGTTCCCCATATAGGGTAAAGGCTCCAATGTTTGGAGTGATATTGGCCAAATGCAGGTAAATGGGTCTAGTTTAGTTGGGGAAACTTGGTCGACATCAAGTTGGATCAAAGGGTCTGTTTGTGCTGCGTCTCTATGACTGACTAGATTAAAACTGCCACTTCAGCAAGGTACAAGAGTGGAATAGGAACTTTATGAACTCCAGTGGAGAAACTTCAAAAAATAAAAAAGTCAAAACAGTACAGAAATCTTACCAATGCAGAAACAGTAAAGTCCCTTGCATGCATTTTTTCAGTTAGCCAATCAACCTTCCTCCTCGTGTTAAGGAAAATCACAGCTTGTGTTATGGTTAGAGTTTCATACAAGTCACAAAGAGTGTCCAACTTCCATTCCTGTCACAACAAAATTCGGAGTGTGAAACAAGTCTTCAATAATGGATCAATTTCAAATAATGTTCTGGTGTTGCAGTAAAAAGGGGATGCAAAGTATGTTCAACATACCTCTCTCTCCACATTGATGTAAAACTGCTTGATACCCTCAAGTGTGAGCTCCTCTTTTTTCACAAGGATACGGATTGGATCACGCATAAATTTTTTGGTGACCTCCAAGACATCACTGGGCATCGTAGCAGACAACAGAACCACCTAAACAGGAAAAGTCATTTAGCAGTGCAGCCTGTCCTTCTACCAATGGCCATCATTAGAACTCTCAGTTGTGCACTGTGCACACTATAAACATTTTCTGCTAAATATAAAGACCATTTCACTTTAGCTTGAAATTCCAACCTGCAACACAGAATCAACCAGTTGCTCAAAGAATGTAGCACAGAATCTTGAGACAAAGGACACCAGACATTAAGAAAGTGGTCCACCCTGGTCTCATTTGCAATGCTGTGCATTTTTCTTCTTCCTCGGTGTACTCTACTAGCATTATTACATAAGTCAGGTATCCGAATTTTGTAATTTTAGCAGAGTGCTTAAGAAGAAGTTGGCAACACCATAAATGTTGGACAGGATAATGCTGCCAGTGTACGACATACTTGAAGCCATGTATTCAGATTCCCTCCCCATTTGAAAAGAAACCAGCATACCTGAATGTTCGTGCTCAGTTTCTGAAAAATCTCATAGATTTGATCTTTGAATCCACGACTCAACATTTCATCAGCTTCGTCTAGGACAAACATCTTGATCCACCTAGAAGCTGTAATAATTATTTAAACCAAGTTACAGCACTATCTTTGAAGCTTCAACAGACTGGTGCATTGATGATCCTACACAGCGATCAATTGCAAGACTTTGATCAACAAAAACATTACTAATCTGAATTCTAAACCTCACAGATTCCAATTAATTTTAGACCCAATTCCAAGTGTGTTTATTAGTTAAAACATGAATACCCAAATATAGAACAGAGTGATCAGTTCAGAAGTTTGTCTCCATTTCAGGTCAGTCCCGAAAGATGGTAAAAGCATCATTCCACTCTGGGCTTTGGATTTTAAGATTAGTACTCACATATATATCCCCTGTTCAACATGTCGAACACTCGCCCTGGAGTTCCTACAACAATGTTGGGAGCTTCTGCGTTCAGCTTCTGCATCTCACTTCGTACATTAGTGCCACCAATGCAGGCATGGCAAGTAGCACCCATGTAATCCCCCAGGGCCAGGATTACCTTCTGGATCTAAAAGAGGTAGAGATTCACTCAACCCTTTTATTAAGAGACTACACTGCAAAAATTGATTGTTTTAAATACAATGCCAAAGCACTGAATATTTACCTATTGTAATACTACAGAATATGTACAAGATACAAATGGATGTACAAGGTGGTGAGAGATTTAGCCAGCCATTGATTTTTTTACATGTCTGGAGCACAGAACCCTGCATCTTTTTCAACCCAGGCCCCCTTTTTTGAAAAATCCTGTCTGAAGGCCTTTGGATATTTCACTTCCTGCGAATCTTTTTCAAAAACACCAAATGTTGAAGCATCATTAGAAAGATTAGGATTGCAGATGGTGTTTCCATGCATCTGCTGCCCTTCTTATTTAGAAGATGCAGTCTAAAAGATCTTTGCTTGTGGGTGTGCTACTCTGTCCTGGATGGGGTCAAGCTTTAGTGTTGATCAAGTTGCACCCATCTAGGCATAAGAAGAGTATTCCATCACACTCCTAACGTGTCTTGTAGATGGAGGACAGGCTTTGGGGAGTCAGGAATTGAGCTGGTCAGTGTGCAGAACCTCCAAATCCTGCATCTTAAAGCTAACTCTGCCAAGGTGGTATAGTTTAAGATGCCAAGTATCATTCTGTAAATGTAGACCACACAGCCTCCAGTGCCAATAGATTTTCAACCATTTAGTCAAGCTTGGGACCTGACTACTCCCCACTTTATCGTTCTGCAGATACAAAATAGCATTCGATTGTCTTCTGGATAACTTTCTTCCTTGTGCATCATATTTTAATGATCAATGTAGTGAAGGCTCAGCTCAGACTTTTGTATATGGTTTTCCAATTTTTAGAAAGTACCCATTTTCTATTGATTTTTGGCATCTGAATTGATAAAGAATTGCTGAAGTAACTCATCTGCTTAAAACTTAAAACTGTCAAATTCTAATTACACATTCCACTGAAGAAAAACACCATGATACAGATGGCGGATGGCAAGTCCATAGATACTGTCCATGTGGGCAGGCAGCAGGCACTTTCTGAAAGTCATGGTAACCTTTTGACAGATTGACAATTACACGAAAGCTGCTCCTCTACAATTTGGCCAGTATATTTACAACTTGTTTAAAAGGAAGAGACTTACTAACTAAACTTGCAAACTAAGACCAAATGAAAAGGCAGAATAATTTGTTTCAAGAAAAAGTAATAAATGACCATCCAAGGGAGATGGGAAGTATTAAGTGATCAGAGAAAGACATCTGTAATTTAACAATAACAAAGCAAACACTTTTTGGGTAAAGAGATAACAAGGCATAGAGCTGGATGAACACAGCAAGCCAAGCAGCATCAGAGGAGCAGGAAGGCTGACGTTTCGGGCCTAGACCCTTCTTCAAAAGGGTCTTCTGAAGAAGGGTCTAGACCCGAAACGTCAGCTTTCCTGCTTGGCTTGCTGTGTTCATCCAGCTCTACACCTCGTTATCTCAGATTCTCCAGCATCGGCAGTTCCTACTATCTCTGTAGTATGTTTTGGGTAAAGCTGCTCGAAAGATCTGGTGCTGGTTTAATCGGAGGGTCACAATGCTTTAGGTAAATGGAATGGTTGAGGAGTATCCTGCTTGGTAACCTCATCTAATATGGGTACTGAACACAAATGGCATTCCTCTGCAAACCAGCCAAGTGAGCTAAACAACCCCCACTGTTTGGCTTCGTGTTTGGAGTACAAAAATTTAAACATATGACTGCAGAAGCACAACAGTGCAGGCTCAAATTGAAGTTGTGCATGCAGAAGATTCTATCCAATGGTCCTAGAATAAACAATGCAGTAAGATATTGCTCTCAAACCTCATTTGATAAAGCACTTTTTACCTGCTGAGCTAGTTCTCTGGTAGGGGCCAGGACCAAAGCCTGAGATTCTTTCATATCCAGCTCCAGCTGTTGCAGGATTGAGATTGCAAATGTGGCTGTTTTACCAGTTCCAGACTGTGCTTGGGCAATGACATCAAAACCTGAACCAATGAGAAATCATAAGTTACCTTTACAAAGAAACCAAATGAAAAAGTAAATTCTTCAGTTCAATTTAAGCATTACACCGAATGATCAATGCCCTTAAACTTTTAAGCAACAGGTCTACGGCTCTAACAGAAAGCTAGCAGGAGCAGTGGCCTTCCAAACAGATATGGCAGCATAATTATTGAAACAGATACATTCACTCAGTAAGGGTCCTAATGCTGAAAAATAACTCAAAAAAACCAAGTGATCAGTAAAGAGGTTTCTCTTCATTACATACGAGACCCGAAAAGATAGAAGCCATCATTTCGCCTGAGGCAAAAACTGAGGAAGTATCTGCAGATCAAGTCTAGAGAATACACTTTTACTACAAAAAAAGAGTTTTATCTAAGCTTAGCATAAAAAGTAAAATACCAAACCACTACCACAGTAAAAGTTGCTCTAATAAAAAGCAGCTTGATACTTTAGTAACATTCACCTTTAATACATGGCATAATTGCCCTCTGCTGAATAGCAGAAGGTTTTTCAAATCCATAGGCATAAATTCCTCGAAGAAGAGTCTCCTTCAGATTCATGTCATCAAAGTTATCAACAATTTCATTCCAGTTGCTCTGGGGGAATGAAAGAAAAACATTACAATAATCCAGGCAAAAAAGTAAGCTTCAGAACAGAACACCATGCTGAACACTTTTACTCACTTCAATAACACCATCTGGGTCCATGCCATCTGGGCCATGTTCTTTAGAGCTGCAAAGCCACAATAGAAAGATTTCTAAATTAGATATTGTGCGTTCCAAAATCTGTTTCCACTCTAATAGCTCGGTCCTAAACAGTCCATGGTTTAGCCAGTTAACTCCCTCACTGGATTGCTGCCCTTACGCCTCTCACCCAGAGGTGGGGTGAGGGAGAAACACAGTAACTAGATGACCTGCTCGGCCGAAAAAAAAAAATCAGGTTCGGACAGGGCACCGAACTAAATGCTTGAACTCCCCAACAGTCCATCTGTAGGGTTCAATGGTGGAACCGAGGCCCGGCTGCAGGCACCTCCCGTCCACGTGTCCGCCATCCCGACCTCGTGCGGCAGAGGACAGCGGCCGAAGGGGGAGCCTCCCAGACTCTTACCCCGGGGGTGCGGGGGGGGGGGGGGGGGGGGGGGGGGGGGGGACAAGAAAAAAAAACCCCCCCACCCCCCCCCCCCCCCCACAAAAAAAAAACAA